TGAGGACATATGGTCTTGAAATTAAGGACAGCTATTAGTTGCCATGTGGGTGCTGGGAATTGAACCCAGATCCTAAGGAAGCAGTTAGTGCTCTTAACCACTGAGCCATCTCTCCAGCCCCCAGCAAGCCATTTTCAATGAAGCCTTCCAGGCCATGCTTCTTTCAGCCAATAAAAAGTCTTCTCCTAGCCCCAAAAAGTAGGACAAAGTTCAACAGAATCATACACACAGCTCCTTTGAGACATTCTAACTCCTCTGTAATAAAATGGTGATGCTCAGGTGTCAACTTAATATGAATCATATAAGTGGTTGAGATCCTAAGTAGTCTGGTGTCAGGGCCTTCATAACTGATATTTCCTGACCTACATTGTAGTCTGCTATGTTCTTCCAGCTGAGCCCTCATAGTAGGTACTTGCAAAGCTCTTATCTCACTCTGCTCACATTCTTAACTCATTTATGGGATACAACCACCCAATGGCTACAGTGCCAACTCAACTCCATCTGTGACTCTCCAATACCACAAGGGGAGCACAAGAGAAAGGGATAGCTACAAAAGAAATCATAGTGGCTAGGCTATCTGGTATATCATCTAGAAACTCTAACAGGCAAGAGGCGAGGACTAACAATACTACAAGGGCCCTGGGCATAGGATGCAAGCTTGTAATCCTAGCACTTAGGAGCCTGATCTATACAGTGAGACTTGATTTCAAATAGACAACAAACAAAATACACTGGAGGGAACATATGAGAGTCATCTTATTAGTAAATACTTATTAGCATTTTCTACAACCAACTTTGTCCTTAACTTAGTAAAATGACACCTTATTTTTGTTTACTTTCTAGAATGAAGTATTAGAATTTAATGAATTAAAATGCACTCCTCCTCTTCCCTGTTTCTCTTAAGTGCTGTGGAACTATTTATTTAAATTAAGGATGCATTACTGAAGTCTTTATGAATTGACAGACCATCTAAATAACATGAAACCTTTGGTTCCTTTCCCGTAGAAAGAAGATAGGATGCTGGAGCTTAATGATTAAGAGCCACATAAGGGCAGGAGAAGGAGTTCAGCAGTGGTACACTTCCTAAAATGCAGGAGGCTCTGGGTTCAATTCTCAGGAGGAGGAGCATCTAACCCAACTTTGCATAAATAGAGAAGCCCTCACTAGAAAACACCCTGGACTGGCCCTAGAACCTCTGCCTAAACCCTCCTAATGAGGAGGTGCATAGTGGCTTGTGGACCCATTCTGTTGTTCCAGCATTTTTGTTCCTAGAACCAGCCTCATCTTTAGCATGGCAGAGTAGATTCACCCCACAGCTGCAGCTTCCACAGCTAGTTCCTACCCTCCCCACCCCACCCCCAAAGCTTTCTTCAGACCAGTCAAAAGGCTGTCAGTCCTTTATGTTTTACACACCAATAAGTATCTGGGCTCCTGTGCACTCAGTAAATTTTAGCTTGTCAAATTCTCTTTGAAGTGTGATGACAAAAAAAAAAAATGTGTAAAATAAACATAGCATTTAAGTATTTCAATCAATTCATTGTTTTGTAGATTGAGCCAAATTCAGGAAGACCTGGGGAGTCACTGCATCAACTGAATGTTTTTACTGCATGATTCTCTCTGCTCCAGGAATCCCTGTTTAGTGGGCCTCTCCACATTGCTACCTCACAGAGAGCCAATCCTCTCTAAATCAAACATTCAAGTATTTCTTAGCGTGGCAGTCAGCTAACACTAAACTGAGAAATATTACTAAAAGTCTCTCACAGAAGCTCTAAAATCAAGCACTTCAGGAGCAGAGTCTTGGGGACAAATATGGGGAGTCCCATTTGGGATTAGATTTCTGTCTCTTTAAAATCAGGTCTATGTGTCTTTCTATAACATAATGAACATAGTTTTGTAGGATCTTTACTAACAAGAGGAACTGAGTTGAGACAAAAGCCTGGACCATTCAGACAAAAATACTTTTTCAGCCCATTGAAGCTTTGATCAGCTTCGGAGGTCAAAAGCAAAAATTGCTGCTATGTTACATTCAATTGAGACTAAATTGTGTCTGTCTTTTAATATCACTGATCTGGAAGAAAGGAAGGACTGGGGCAAGGAGAAGAGGGGAGGGGAGGGGAGAGGAAGGAAAGGGAAGGAAGGGAAGAGGAGCTGTGAAAACTTTGCTATCACTTTATTTACAATTTCTGAGCTCGGGTGGGGTTGGTGAGAAAACTGTGCCTTACTCAAAAGTCTGGTTGCATTCGGAGCTCTCTTCCTCCCAGTCATTCCAGTAGTAATGACCAGGGTGACTAGAAGTGACATCTACTTAAGCAGGCAATGCTCCTGAATCAGACCCTAGTTCCTGGGGTTCCAGACTCACTGCGCCCCAATCAGAAAGAGCTATTCTTAAACTGAAAGCTTCTCTGTTTACCTGCTTCTTAAAGGTGAAAGCTCAAGAAGTGCCCTCACTCCAATCCCCACAGAGTGAGTCCTGACATTTTCTGAAGGCAGAAAAGATAAATGCCCAGTGCCTTTGAGTTAGTTTGCTCTCTCTCTCTCTCTCTTTCTCTCTCTCTCTCTCTCTCTCTCTCTCTCTCTCTCTCCTCTCTTTTCTCTCTCCAAATGCTTAGTATTTTTTTAACTTACTTTAAAAATTCCTCCCAAGTGTGTTAGCAGCGTTGTCCACAGAATTAGAAGGATTTGAGTATTTTCCCCTTGGCTCTTGGCTCCATGCTCTTATGGGAGATATATTTCTCTTATCAAATCACACTCCTCTAATCCAAGGTTTGTTTGGTTGGTTGGTTTGTTGGTTGGTTGGTTTTGTTTTGGGGTGTGTGTGTGTGTGTGTGTGTGTGTAAAATTGTAAAGCATTTCCTATAAACTAGTTCCTTTAAATGGTTCTGAGACTGGAGATATGGTTTGGAAGTAAGGGGCTTGCCTGGACTCTGGCTTTGAAAAAGTCCAGTCATTATCTCAAGAGGAGAATCTGAGCCTGCATTTGCATCATTAACCACAACTACACAAACTAAAGAAATGAGGATGCTGTTCTTTTAAAGCCATAGGAGCAAATTGCAAGCCAAGGCATTGTTGCCAGAAAGTAAATAAACAAAAAGGAAGAGTATACAAAAAGAAGCGACCAGAATCACAAGAGGCCTATCTGTGTCCACCTTCAGCTGTTAGCTAGCCCAGATTTCATGGATACATTCTTCAGCTGTGGCAAGCCTCAGTTTCTGATTCGTGGTTCACAGCTGGCTTGACTGACTATGGATCAAGCACTCGGGAAAGTCCGAAGGCTTCACGGTGCTTGTATTTTAAGCCGTGGCTTTGCCTCCTATATGATGCAGACTAGGTAAACTCTCTTTCGCCCAACTGTTTTTTTTTTTTTGTTTTTGTTTTTTGTTTGTTTGTTTGTTTTGTTTTTGTTTTTTTAAGCATCCCTACATTTGTTATATTCGTAGACTCAGAACTTTACCTAGAGGAATCGTGAAAAAAACATCCCCACACCGTTGGGGTGTGGGGGAGGGAGATTAAATGCAACCTAAACTCAAACCACTGCAGTCTTTGTAATTATTTATCTCTGCTCCCGAGGGTGAGAAAGGCACCTGCTAAGTTCACTCCTTTCCGGTCTTCCTGGGCTTCGCTGATCTGAAGACAACCAGAAGTCAAGGCAGACCTGAAACCGAAGTCTCCACCCCCACCTCTGCTTTGTCCGTTGAGTGTCTTCACATAGTTCATTAGCATAGTTTCACATTACAAATACCAAAAGACGCCAGTCCCCTCAGCATTTTGCAGAGACAAGATACTGTTTGCGGTGACTTTTTAACGTGAATGAGATTCATTAATCTCTATTAATCAAATGATTAAAAACAGAAAAGTCGGGGTCGGGAAGACGGAATCTGTTAAGCAAAGGTCATTAGCCAAGTTCATTGCTACCGGGGAAAAGAAACTGAGATAAGGGAAGTGACCTGCTAGCAGCGGAACCGGGCAACAAACGATTCCCGGAAACGCCTGTTCCTTCCTATTTTTGCCCCACAAGTCCTTTATTATCTAGAGAGACTGCAGACCTCTAGATAGAAGACCTCCCAGGGGCAAAGGAGAGGAGTAGCGCTGCGAGCGACAGCTTCAATGACACCCCCCCCCCTCCAACAGGTGCGCGCTCACAACACCTTTTGCCTTAATTCGGAAGGCTGTGGAGTGTGTTCGTTGCCAGCCTAGGCCTTGCTAAAATACTGCGAGAAGTGAGCGCGTCCACAAACAACCCTAAGACAACACTTTTAAAGTCTCAGTAGCCTTTGGGACAAGGAAGGGTTGCGGGACAAGAGTGCAACAAGTTCAGGAAGCAGAAATTGCGCTGTGGGTGTTCTCTGTCCACGATTCTGTAGGGAGGGAAGTTGTAGGGGGCCACCAGCGCAGCATGCCCGGCAGAACACCGAGCACACTGATGACCACTGGGACCCCAGAGGATGGAAGCGCAGTCCGTGGAAGGAGGTCGCCTAAGGACTTGAGTTAGAGATGTGGGGTCCCACCAGGGGTGTGAGCAGAAATAGTGAAAAAGATCCGGCGTATCTCTGCCTGGACCCCCGCACGGCGCCAGCCCCCTGATCCCTTTATCTGCGTTTCTTAAGGGAAAGTTACCGTCCGGGTAGAGAGGCGAGTGCAGGGTGACAGAACTAGGGAACAATCGGCTGAGAAATGAGAATAGAGGGGTTCTGCAATGGCAGCGGGGAAGGAAAGCTCCGTCGAATTGTAGAACCGCCAGCCCAGGTGCCAGTTTGGGCTGTGACACTGGACAGGTCCCGTGCACTGAAGACGCCGGGTATGGGAACCAGCGATCACACCTGTGATCCCGGTGGGGACAGAATAGGGATCGGGAGGAGGCTTGGGGGTGAGTCGCTGGCGGCTGCAGGTTGACCAATGGGCTGCATCTGTCTTTGTTCCAGCCCGGAAGGCTGGAACAGAGTCTATAGTCTCGGTCTTTCTGCCAGGGAAGGACCACGTCTGACCCCTCTACCTCTTCGCCCTGGTCTCCTTCCTCAGCCCAGCCACTCAGAGCACGTGTGGCCCTGAGCTGAGCTCGCCTTCGTCCCCAATGTCCACCTCATCCTCTGGCTCGGTAAGCACGAAGGCGCCGGAGGGCAGGCTCAGCCGAGCATCAGCGACGGCGGCCTCTGGGGCATGCGGGCTGCCTTCCGGGCTCTCAGGCCCGTCTGCAGCTTTGGGTTCGTCTTGAGTTTTCCTCAGCTGCTTTTTATGCTTCATCCGCCGGTTCTGGAACCACGTTTTCACCTGATTTAGGGGGTTCAAACAAAATCATGTCATTCCTTAGACAAATGGTGACAGAGCTAACTAAGATCTGGGCGAGTGGTGAAGTTTTAAGGGGAAAAGCCCTTTGTCTACTGAATTGAATTCGGACTAACTCTATGGCCAGTTGCCTTGTGCTTTTGGGAAAGTCACACATTACCGTTTTAGGCTGAATGAGATGTAAGGCTTCCAAGAGAGATTGCCCCGGAATAGTGATGAGGATCAATGATGTGGATAGTAATTAATAAGGGTAAGTGCTGGATGGATGGGGACAGGTCAATTTATGATCCTGTGATGCAGACAACTAAATCCCGGGCAACAGGACTCGGGCCGGAAGACAAGAATGGAGTGAAGTGGCTGCTTTTCCTTGGAGACAGTATTAGTCCCAGCTCTGAATGGCTAATGATTTCATGGCAAGATCATGAAAAGGAATAAAGGAAGGGGTTAAGGGGGTGGATGAATAGGACAAAAGATTAAAAACTAGAGGGAAGGCTTTAACTGTGTGAAAGCCCTGGGGTACCTATGAAGACTTGCTATGAATGACACTGACTAAAATAAGTACATGGGGGCAATGAAGAGGGGTAAAAGGAGCACAGAGTGGTGATGTAAACTGGCAATCTACACTCGGAGGTTGAGGCAGAAAACAAGGTTTGGGGTTAGCCTGGGCTACACGGTGAAACCCTCTCCAAAACAAACAAACAAACAATTTAAGCTACTCCAGAAACAAGAACCCTCTAACTCAGCTGTCGCTGTCTTGGTTGGAAGAGGAATAGAAATAATTATTAACTTGGAGGTGACAGCCGAATCACTCAAAGTGACCCCCCCAACACAGCCAGGTAGATAAAACTAATGTGAAATTTAGGCATAAATTCTGCCGGGTCTTGGAAGAAGAGGGGAGAGGTTTCGTTTTAACTCGTTGGTTCTGGAACTGTTCAGAGCTGAGGGGAGAAGAGCAGGACGCAGAATCCGGGGCCTCCTCCCCGCTTCTGCCAACCTGAGTCTCGGAGAGGCTGAGGGCTGTGGCCAGCTCCACGCGCTCTGGTGTCGACAGGTAGCGCTGGATTTCGAACCTTTTCTCCAGGCCGGAGAGCTGTGAGTCAGAAAACACGGTGCGAGCTTTGCGGCGGCGGCAGTGCTTCCCTGGCAGCTCTGCGTGCTGCGGGTGTGGGAATAACGCTGGGACAGGCACCCCTACAGAGACAAGAGCAGTGTGAAGGACAGAACCGCATCCCCAGGAAGCAACCATCCATTGGCCTCCCAGCGCCACTCCACTCCAATGCCCAACATTCCCCAACACCTGTCTCCTTTTGCCTCAAAGCTCCTGGAGCCCATCTCCCAATAACCCTGGGACAGTGCGGGGGGGGGTCGCAAAATAACGCTTGGAGATCTCTTACTAAGAGGCCATCACAAAATACAAATAATAAAAAGCAAGGAAAACACACACAAAAAAAAAATAGAACAACGGTCCGGATGACTTAAAAAAAAAAAAAAAAAATCATGTTCCTGGGGAGACTTTCGGAGCGCACATACAGATATCTGCTGGGCCTTGCAAAGTTTTCTTGCAAAAGTCCAATGGTACTGGAACTGTCCACCGGCATCCATCCAGACCTCTACAACATCGAGTGCTAGTCTGATGCAATAGCCTAGACCGAGCTTTGCCTTCTCAACTCTGAAAAGCACCTCTCCCGGGTCGCCCTTACCCTTCCAGCAACCAAACAGAAACTGCGGCGCTGGCCTCTGACATTTCCTTGTCAGTGGCCCTGGAGACCCTGCTCTGCAGTTTGATCATCCTTAGCTTTTCCCTCCTACTCCAAGCCCCACGAACTAGGAGAGCTGAAGCGCCTTTTTCTGGTGATGAGAGAATGCTTTCATTTCGCGACCCTCTCAGCTTTACTGGCTGTTTAAAACGCTCCAAGAACACAGGCCTCATACACCAGTATCTACAAATCCCCGGGAATCAAGCTGTTTAGCACCACAGATTTTGAGCAATAACAGCCCTGGAAAAAGAGTTCGTCCTCAGTGGCGTGGTGAAGAAGCCAGGGAGCCAGGCAGACTCTGCACGAACTTCAAAATCTCCCTAAGCAAGCGCTTGAGAGTGGGTTTTACCGCCAAACATTTTTAATATTTTCCCTCTTCTGTGTTCCAGCGCCCATATTTCACACATTGCTTGCTGCCTTCCCTCGGCCCCTGCTGGAGCCAGTTTACTATTGTGCTCAACATCGGGACTAGGAGAATTTTTCTATTCTGTCTGGAACGAAAATGCTGGGGAAGAAAGTGTGTACGTGTAGCCTGAGGGAAACAAACAAATGAACAAAACCTACATATTTTCCAGAATCTCCAGGCCTAGACTTACTTTGTCAGTCCCCAGTCCCTGCCAAACACTAAATCTGAAATACTTTAGCAACTGATACTCTAGCAACTGGGCCAGAAGGAAGCCAAGCTGACTGACCACGAATTAAATGTTGAACACTGGGAATGAAGGCGGTTCACTCTTCTGTTCTGAATGCTTCCTGCCAATCTGAATCTTCTTTCCCCCTCGACCCCTTTCCAAACCCTCCCTCACTTCCATGTCCTCTGTAAAGCCAGCCAATGTTGCTGACCCAACCCAGTTCAAAAAAGCTGGCCAAGTGAAGCCTTTTCCATTTCTGCACTGGAAAGTTGAGTGTGATTCCCTGGGACAAGATGATTGAGAACCTCCTTCTTCAATGGAAGAAGTTAAAGGGGGAGGGAGGATTAAGAAATGAACAAAGTGGCCTGGAAGAGTGGCATAAGACTGAGCACTGCCCACCAGGAATATGGTCACATCCATCCACTCCAGCTGCCTCTGGCCAGACACAATCCCCATCCCATTATAAAACCTGTGAAGTAACCATGGATTGTTCCCCTCAATTGGCGTGCCTTGGGGGAGCTCTCCTTCTCTCAGCCATGTCCCTAACCTTCTAGTGTTACAGAAAGAGGATGGCCACCTGGCCAGATCTGGTCTCCCTCCAGATCTGGTCTCCCTCCAGATCTGGTCTCTGGAGGCTGTGCTAACACACAACACAAAGCAAACAAACAAAACCCAGCTCACCCTCTCTCTCTCTCCCCACTCCTAGAGGCTTCTGCTACTTACCAGAGGTGGTCAGAAAATAAGGATGATGGTGGTCCCCCTTATGCAGAGGGTGATGGGCATGAGGGGTGAGGAGGGTGGGTGTGGGCATAAGGGGGTAGCCATAGTCTAGCAAAGGCACCCTAGAGGCCAGAGAGCTGGCAAAGTGGTCAGGGGCCACCTCTCTCAGCGGCTTAGGCTTGTGTAGCAGAATGTCCTCTATGAAAAACGACGTGGGCCTCTGAGAAGATGCTGGATGGAGAGGGGAGGTGAAGTTGAGATTCATCTTGTGGAGCGCCTGTCACAGGGTGAGGGCCAGGACAAAGTGTAGGAGGCAGACAGCTTCGCAGCTGGCCTAGTAGAAAGCCTGCACCTGCTCCTGATCGCCTAGGCTCAGATCTCCGCTGCTCTACCGACCTGGGCTATCCCCGGCGCTTATCTTCTTGCCTTTCCAGCGCCAGGGTAGGTTGGTTCTGTGTGTTGGAAAATTGGCAGCTTGGAGAGGGGAGCTGGGAGAACCAATAGCGAGGCTGCAGAGGCAGAGGGGAGGGTGGGGTGGGCTCAGGGCGGGGCGGGGATCTGTCCGCGGTGCTGAATGAGCCTGACCAGGCAAGGGAGCGCTGAGCTGCTAGGTTCGGTTCCTAGCAGGCTTCTGAACCCCAATTTCTGCCCCTCCCCTGTAAGAGTGGTTGTGCTCTGTGTTTTAAAAAGACTGAAAGTGAATTTTTTTCGCCGTTGTCTAACAAACAAGAATACCAAAAGAGCCCTAATCGCGTAGGAATAAAGCACTTACTCAAGCATTTGAGCCAGTTTGGTTTTTAAAGAATTTCAGTAATCGGTAACAAAGGAGGAGAAAAGTAAAGAAATAAAGATGCAGACTGTCTGCTACATCAAGTTGCTAGAACTAGATTAAGTTGACAGAGGGGACGATTGAATTGTTGGGGGAAATAAAGATGACGGTGGAAGGTTCTTTACCTGGAATTTAGGGAATGGACAGAGTTGGAGGAGGGGTCTATCACCCAAATGACTTGGTCATTTTAAATCTGTCCACAGCCACCCTTGCCATCACTCTTTGATTCAGCAATACATTTTGAGTTTTGTTTGGTTTTTTTTTTTTTTTTTTTTTTTTTTTTTTGCTATTTCTGCTACACCACCCGATCCAGCCACAGCCTTTCCCCGTCACTGCATTAGATTTTCTCCTGCCTCTTTCCTTCCTCTTCTTTCCAATCCTTTTTCCCCCTGTTTGTCTTTTTCTAATCTGCCACATTTATTTCCCTGGAGTCAATTTGCTAAAATTAAGGTGATCATCTACAGCACAGCAGGGGTAATTTGGGCTCGCATCTCTGAAAATTGCTCTAATTATTGATGTTAAACTCAGGGAAATTAAAAGAAGCCACTTCTCTTCCATCTCCCAATTTTTAAGCTCTAATTTGTTGATATCTAGTCGTCATCACAATTCCAATCACTACTGCTAATAGCAAAAGTGTCTTAACGGAGACTGAGTCCTCACAACCCATGCTATTAGATAATTAGAGGAGGTGCTGTGAAGTCAAGTGTTAATCCTTGGGCGCTGCAGTAGGATTTCCATCTGATCTAGCAGGTAGAACAAATTAATTACCAGAATCAATTAGGCCCCAAACTTCAGTGCTCCAGGAAGTGGAAGTGTCCTATTCCACATGGACACACTGGTAAGCAGATAGGAGAGGAAGCAGAAGAAAGCATGGCGGGGAAAGAAATAAAGTCTTGGTGAGAAGGCATGTAAATGAAGTCAGAACTGTTTCTTTTTGTCTGAGAGGTGATTTGGTTTTGAAGTTTGTAATATTAGGAAGAGAAGGAGGGAGAGGAGAAGACCACCAAATGGGAGATAATAGACTTTTCAGAAGTTCCCTGACCATTCGTCCTGGCCAAGTCATCATTTATGGTACTGAAGGAGATAAAGGGAAATGTTGAAGAGGTGCTGAGGGGACGATCCACACAATGGAAGTTCATCCATCTCTACCCTCAGTGTGGATGTATCAAATGGATATCAGTCATCTATGTGTAGCAAATGGATATCAATCTATTTTATCTCCAAACACAAAGCTGGCAGTTTATTATGGGACAGGAGCAATACAACCAGACTTTAGTGGGTTTCAGCATTTGACCTAAGTTCTCAGCCACTGTACAGATCCTCCCCCGGCCTCCGGAGGGCGGGCTTTCAGCTTCCTTGGGTCAGGGACTAATTTGTGCCATGGAAACAGAAAAGACTGAATATCATTTAGGGGACAGTATTAGTAGAAACATCCTTGAGTGCCAGTCTTTGAACAGTGACACAGAGAACTCTTCTTTACACACCTCTCAGAGTGCTCGAGGAGTCGCAGTGGGGAAGAAGAAAGACAGCCTTTATACGCTGGTATAGGTGGTGTGTTCCCTGCTCAGGCTACGGCTCTCCCCGGGGTAGAAGCTAATGATGGGGGAAAAGGGTGACAGCAGCGGAGGCTCACGCCCAAGCTAGCCCAGAACTGAGCGAGAGACTGGAAATCCGGCCTCCTGCCTCCGCCTCTTTGGGTCGCTATAGGAACCTAAGAAGTAAGAGCCTAGGGAGAAAACTGAGTCGATGGGAAAGGTGCAAGACCCGGGGCGCTGGCATCTTTTCCCTTCCCGATTAGCGCTGCTAGCGGACAATGCTAGGAGGCTGGACGAGTGAGTACTGCCTGAGCCGCCAGGACCAAAGCAGACAGCTGGGGACTCTTAGGCATCCTCGGTGTGGCCACCACCCTTATCCATGGCAAACACCCTTTTTTCTCCGGTCCCAGATACATCGCAGCCGAGGACCTTGTAGGTCCTCAGCCCCGTGTGCCAAAGGGAGGGAAGCGCGGATGCGGACTATGTGCGGGATGGTTGGTTCTCAAAAGGTTTCCGATCCCGTCCTGGCCTCAGGTTCCAGGCCAGGCTATGCCCCAGATCCTAGAGGAAATCCTGAAGCAGAGGATGCAATAAAGTTTCTCCCACTGGCCGAACTCCTTGAGCAGAACCTCGCAAAAACAAAACAAAACAAAAAATCGGAAAAGTGATCAAAACCAGCTCTGGCCCAGTCCTACAGTGGCTCTGAGTGAATGCAGGGCACAAGGTGTCCAGCCCCAGTTACTCTCACCCCGCCTCCAGGTCTCAATCCTGAAGTGGGTATTGCAATTGGGAGCTCATTACACATGCATCACTCTCTACCTTCCCAGTCCACCTTCTCTGGGCCAGGACAGCCTGGGTAAACAAGTCAGTGTTAGATTTTAGATAGAGGGTAAAGATTACAAGCCACAGGGAAACAATCTCCTTTTAAAACAACAACAGGACAGTCAGGACTGTTACACAGAGAAACCCTGTCTTTAAAACAAACAAACAGATGTGTCATTGTCTAGCTTAACCCTGAAGCCTAGAACAGTCTCATCAATAATATAGTGTGACCCACATAGACCATTTTAAATTTTACTGGTCAAATTTTAAAAACAAGCCTGGCCTGGTGGTATACACCTTGAGCACCAAGGAAGTAAAGACAGGTAAATATCAGTGAGTTTGAGACCTACCTGGTCTACAAAGCAGGTTCCAGGACAACCACAGATACCTAGAGAAACCCTGTCTCAAAATAAATTTAAAAAGTTAAAACAGAAATATTTATGTACTATATTTAATCACAATACACCCCACATATTATTATTTAACATATGAGTAATATAAATATTATTTACATTGTTTTTCATACTCAATGCTTATTTCTTCTTTAGACAGGTTCTCCTGCAGTCTAGATTGGTTTCAAACTCATTATGTAGCCAAAAAATGATCTTGAACTCTTGATTCTCACAAGTTCTGGGATTACGGGTTCCATGCAAAGTTTCCCACTAAACCAAAATGTGTATTTTTGCATTTACTGCACATTTCAGCTCTCATTGGTGCTTTTAAGTGTGCTGTAGCCACACTAGGCTTGACACTTGTATTATATAGCACCCTGTAGTTCACCACCACCCTCTCTTTTACTTCTTTCCAATGTAGGCAGACACACAGGAAAAATAAGCAGTTGCTGCAATCAACCTAACATATTCTCAAGACTTGCCCTTGATTCACTGCTATGTTTAATTATTGTGAAAATTCACTGAACATCTACTGTACAAAGGTTCCTTTCTCCAAGCCTTGGGGGAATTTCATAAATGCTTCCATATTACATTTTATTTTGTTTTATTCTCATTCACTTGGTCAAAAAAAAATCTGTCACTCAGGACCAGAAAGCTATGGCTATAAAGCTGACACAATCCAGATCCTATACAATGCCCAGAGGAAAAGACTACAACAACAACAATAATAATAAAGATCAAATGATAGTATCTCTCCCCATCTAGGATTCAATGACATTCTTGCTTAGGTGGAGAATCATTAATTTAAAGAGAGAAAAGACATGCTTTTCAGGGAATAGAAAATTAAACAAGGCCCTCTCTCTTTCATGTCAGCCTCGGCTAAAACTGAGGTGGGACTTGGTTTCCCAAAAAGATGGCCCTGTTGATGATCAAAGGAAGGACTGGTTCCATTAGCTAAGTTGCCTTCAGAATAAAGGAGACGTGTATTTTAGTGGGATCTGAGTAACACACTTTACTCATAACAGTTTGTATTATATTGCTTGTTGTCTGTTCCAGCCTCCCTTCTACCTGGGTACTTTATTTAAGCACTACCCAAGTGGATGACATGTCTACAAAAAGAACAAGAGTCCCTGGCTGCTTCTAGCAAATGTATCTTCAAAACAAATGCTTTTGTCCGGCAAGTTAGGATGTGAATCCTCATGAGAAACACATTCAAAGATGTTATATTGAAAACCCAGCATTTCTAATGTGACAAGGACTACATCCACCCAGTTTGCTCATTGATGGATGGGCAGTCTGTAAAGTTATAAGATCTTCTGTTTCTCTTCTGAAGTTCTCAGCGCTGTCTTTGGCTATCTCAAATTAAAACATGCTTCATGATCTATTAGAAATGGAAATTTGGAAGAGAGAATTCCGTTTCAAATGTGAGAGAGCTGATGTAATTTCTTAACTCTCCGAAAGATATACAGTAGAATGAAAATGGCCTTTAATCTATCTCTTAACTTGTAGCTCTACATTTCTCTTGAAGAGTACCTAAAGAGATCTTGAAGAGTACCTAAATATACTACTTGAGTGTGAGTGAGGGGTGATAAGCTAAAAAAGACAGAAGTGGTGGCTCACACCTTTATTCCCAGCCCTTGGGAAACAGAGGCAGACAGACCTCTGTAAATTTAAGGCCAGCCTGATCTACGGAACCAAGTTCCAGGGTGGCCAGGACTATACAGAGAAAACCCTGTCTTGAAAAACCAACTAAGCAAACAAACAAAAACCCTTTTAAATATTCCCTATTATGCCAGGCATGTACAGGCATGATGCAGGCCTGTAATCCCAACACTTAGAAGGTGGTGACAGGAGGATGGGGGATTGTTTGTCTGTTTCTGGAGACAGGGTTTCTCT